TTGAATGAAACTAACCCGGACTGACGCTGTTTTCAGCAGAATTGCCATGATGTTGTTTTATGTGTAGAAAACAAAAGTTCTCAGAATGTCCTGAAAATCCTCGGAGGCACTTTTTGGAAAATATAAAAAATACTGGCGAAAGAATCAAGACCAGGGGGCCCACACCCTGTCCACGAGGGTGCGGGGCGCGCCCACCCCCCTAGGTGCGCCCACCCCCCTAGGCGTGCCCCCCTGTCTCGTGGGCCCCCTGAGGCTCCGCCGACCTCAACTCCAACTCCATATATTCCGTCTCGTGGAGAAAAAATCAGAGAGAAAGTTTCATCGCGTTTTACGATACGGAGCCACCTCCAAGCCCTAATCTCTCTCAGGAGGGCTGATCTGGAGTCCCTTCGGGGCTCCAGAGAGGGGGATTCCTCGCCGTCATCATCATCAACCATCCTCCATCACCAATTTCATGATGCTCACCACCGTGCGTGAGTAATCCATCGTAGGCTTGCTGGACGGTGATGGGTTGGATGAGATTTACCATGTAATCAAGTTAGTTTTGTTAGGGTTTGATCCCTAGTATCCACTATGTTCTGAGATTGATGTTGCTATGACTTTGCTATGCTTAATGCTTGTCACTAGGGCCCGAGTGCCATGATTTCAGATCTGAACCTATTATGTTTTCATGAATATATGTGTGTTCTTAATCCTATCTTGCAAGTCTATAGTCACCTATTATGTGTTATGATCTGACAACCCCGAAGTGACAATAATCGGGATACTTCTCGGTGATGACCATAGTTTGAGGAGTTCATGTATTCACTATGTGCTAATGCTTTGTTCCGGTTCTCTATTAAAAGGAGGCCTTAATATCCCTTAGTTTCCGCTAGGACCCCGCTGCCACGGGAGGGTAGGACAAAAGATGTCATGCAAGTTCTTTTCCATAAGCACGTATGACTATATACGGAATACATGCCTACATTACATTGATGAACTGGAGCTAGTTCTGTGTCACCCTATGTTATAGCTATTACATGAGGAATCGCATCCAACATAATTATCCATCACTGATCCATTGCCTACGAGCTTTTCACATCTTGTGCTTCGCTTATTTGCTTTTCCGTTGCTATTGGTACAATCACTACAAAACCCAAAAACATTACTTTTGCTACCATTACCTTTATTATCATACTACTTTGCTACTAAATACTTTGCTGCAGATACTAAGTTATCAAGGTGTGGTTGAATTGACAACTCAACTGCTAATACTCAAGAATATTCTTTGGCTCCCCTTGTGTCGAATCAATAAATTTGGGTTGAATACTTTACCCTCGAAAGCTGTTGCAATCCCCTACACTTGTGGGTTATCACTTCCCCCGTTGCAGCATCACCGTATTTGGGGAGCACATAGTTCTCATCGTCCTCTTCTTCTTCGTTGTCTTCCATCATAACCCCTATTTCTCCGTTCTTGGTCCAAACATTATAGTGTGGCATGAAACCCTTATAAAGTAGGTGGGTGTGAACGATTTTCGAGTCAGAGTAAGACTTTGTATTCCCACATATAGGGCATGGACAACACATAAAACCATTCTGCTTGTTTGCCTCAGCCACTTCGAGAAAATCATGCACGCCCTTAATGTACTCGGAGGTGTCTTTGTCACCATACATCCATTGTCGGTTCATCTGCGTGCATTATATATAATTAAGTGTGTCAAAAACCAGTACAGAACATCATGAATAGATAATTAAGTGACCAAATTAGTAGAAGTTCATCATCTCACATTAAAACCAAAGTACATACATAGTTCTCATCTAACAATATATAGCTCTCCAGAGCATCTAATTAATTAAACCATACATTGAAACTATGTTAAACATTTCAATGCCAAAACAAATGCGATCATAATCGAAACCAAGGTAACAATTGATCCAACGGCATAATGATACCAAGCCTCGGTATGAATGGCATATTTTCTAATCTTTCTAATCTTCAAGCGCATTGCATCCATCTTGTTCTTGTGATCATCGATGACATCCGCAACATGCAACTCCAATATCATCTTCTCCTCCTCAATTTTTTTTAGTTTTTCCTTCAAGAAATTGTTTTCTTCTTCAACAAAATTTAACCTCTCGACAATAGGGTCGGTTGGAATTTCCGGTTCACATACCTCCTAGATAAATAAAATCTATGTCACGTTGGTCGGCATAATTTTCATAAACAATAAATAAACCAAATAGTTATAAAGATAATATATACCACATCCGAATCATAGACAGGACGAGGGCCGACGGGGGCGGATACCAAAACCATCGCTATGAATAATAAGAAGCAATAATAAAAGAAAGAAAATTATACAAGTATCTATATAAACATACAAGTAAGAAATTTATTTCCTTTCAGAAAGAAGATAAGCACAAGAGGCTCACCACGGTGGTGCCGGCGACGAGATCAGCGCGGGTGATCGACGGCGGTGAAGACGGGGACGGGACGTGACGGACTGCTAAACCTAGACAAATATTAAGGAAAATGGAGCTTGGAGGTCGAGCTTGGAGAGGAGAAAGCTTAAGTAGTGTGGCTCGGGCATACCATCGAACACCTGGTGTGCATAGGAGGTGAGCTAGAGCACCACAAAGCTCCCCCCTCGCCGGCCAGGAAAAATAGGCAACTCAATGATCCCGGTTCGTGGCACAAACCGGGACTAAAGGTCACCTTTTCGTACCGGTTCATGCCACGAACCGGGTCCACTGGAGGTGGGCCAGGAGCGAGGACCATTAGTCCCTGTTCGTGCCACCAACCGGGACCAAAGGTCCCAGGAGAACCGGGACCAATGCCCCCACGAGGTCCGGCAGGCCCCTGGCATCACGAACCGGGACCAATGGGGCCATGGGTACCAGTTCGTGATCGAACCGGGACTAATGGGCTAACCAGGCCCAAACATATGCCCTCTTTTCTACTAGTGATAGAGCTAGTGAATCAATCATTACTTGTGAGCATACTATTACTAGTATGCAGCATCGTAGATGCAGTAAGAGACCGTCCAAAATCTGAATCAAGAAGTTGGGCTGGTACTTATTGTTTGTACTAATCAAAGTGAACAATTTGATATCATACCAAATGAGTAAAAACACTAGTAAAATTGTCAACAAACCTAGCCTGTAGTAGTAATATGTGTCAATGTCATTATGACCAACAATCCAACATGACTAGTGTTTGTTCAAGGCCAGGAATTTTGGAACCCTGTCAACTTTATAGGTACTAAAAATTACTGAAACATTTGAACTACTAAATGTAGGTAGCACTCATACACAGTAAACCCTAATGACAGTCATGCATAATGAGTAATGAATCAATTAGAAAATGGGTGATAGGGAGTGGCTGGTGAGTGCTGAGGACGACGTATATCATGATAAATCGGGTTGGTTGAGTGGGTATTGCATGACTGAGGTTGGGCATGCCGACGCACCCGCGCAATGGTGACGCTGTTGGCCGAGTGTCTCCTGACCTCCTGGTCGTCTGGCGTCTCCTGCTAAAGTCATAGCCTCCGGCAACGGCAACTCACTGGCGAGGCAGTTGGCTGACGGCGAGTAGAGATCGGAAGCGCAACAGAGTAAAGGGGAACAGGGTCTGGAGGCATTGGCTGGCTGGCTTGCACGCGGGTTGGGACAAAGTATTATATACTTGTTGGACTTTTTTTTCTCCAGACCATCTTCTAATCTCTTATGGTATATATGACAACCCGGCCCACCCTGGCCAACCTGTAGATTCACCCTTGACTGTAAGTATTAAAGAATAATGATTTCAAGCCATCATGGAACTGGAGCGCAAAAGAAAATATGTGAAAGTAACAACTTTATTTATCCTTTTTTGTATAAAGAGGACTCTCACTCCTATTTCATTTATGAGACCACCAAGTCTTCTACAACTACTAAACAGAAAATGGCCGGTCTAGCAGGGATGATGCGGATCTCCTACCTAGAGATGGGTCAGCGGTTTGATGGTGGTTGTGGTTTCTAAAACATATGCATGTGATGTACGCTTTAGATTTGTTGCACCGGGTGTAGGACCCTAATACATCATCCGGGGTGACCTTGGTTCTAGACGGTGGGGAGTGAGAGCATTCCACATTAAAAAGTCCGTAGGTGTGAACGGTGACTTTGGGTGATTCGTGTATGTTTCTGTCAAACCATTGTTAAACAATTATTAAAGATGGATGTATGCATCGATTGATGCAGAGGCCGGGGGTTCAACCTCCTTTTCGAAAGAAAAGAAGACGCTGCTTATATTAACATAGGCAACCAATTACCAAACCACAGAAATGCGTGAAAGCAAGATACACAACCACAAGCTAGCCAATACAAACTTATGGGCAAAAGCAGACTAAATAGCAAATGATCAAAAGGAGCTTCCCCATCACTGGCTCTCGCATAGACTGACTTTCCAGATCGTCACTCTATCTGGAGCACATCAAAACGCCAGCTTTGAACTGCATCAAAGATGTTCTGCTCTGGTGTTTCTACCACACACTTCAACCTTATTTTATCAATTTTGTGTAGGAGAGAAATATATACTCCGTTATAACGATACCGGCGGACGGCGTACACGCGGAAAAAAATTCTGTGCATACCGGCTGCAAAACCCGTTCTGTGCATACCCTATGCCAGATGCGGCCACGTGTCCCACCTCGCCATCCCACGTCCCCCTCTCCTCCGCTCCCGCTCGTGGTTTTCTGGGCTCGAACGACTCTTCTCAGCTCCAAACTGAGCCCTATGAACACTATATCGGCTCCAATAGATGCGACCGGAGCACTGTCCTCCACGGCCACGGGATCGGACTAGCGGCCGCCGTGGGTACCCCTCTCAGGCGCTCACTACAGTGGGCGGAACAAACAGCCATGCCCGCTGTGAGCCCGAACGCCTCGCCACCGTCTCCTTCCTATGGACACAACGGACTTGAACGATAGCCATGGCCCCCGCACACCTGCTCCCACAGTCCATCAGGCACCTCGCCGCTCGCTCTAGCTCCGCCGCCTCCACGAAGTTGTCCCGCTTCCGGTCCACCTTGAGCGGCACGGCGACGCGCCGACGCCCATGTCGGCGACCAGCTCGAACGCGTTCAGGTGCTGCTCCGCGTACAAGGTCCATGGCGCCATCGGTATGCCGTGCCACAGGCTCTCCAGCACCGAGTTCCACCCGCCGTGCGTCACGAATCCCCCCACGGCCGGGTGCGCCAGGATCTCCTTCTGCGGCGCCCACGTCGGCCACACCAGGCCCTTGCCCTCCGTCCTCCGCAAGAACCCCTCCGGGAGCAGCTCCCCCAGGTTCGCGTCCGTCGGGTGCTCCGACCCGTCCGGCGCGCCGGCGCCGGACTTGGAGGAAGGCGGGCCGCGCAGGACCCACAGGAAGCGGTGGCCGCACCGCTCCAGCGCGGCGGTGATCTCCACCACCTGGGCCGGCTCGAACCAGCCCATGCTCCCGAAGCAGAGGAACACCACCGACGCCGGCGGCTGCGCGTCCAGCCAGGCGACGCACTGGTGCGGTGGCTCCGGGGAATCCTTCTTGCTGGCGCTGCTGCCGAGCGAGAGCACGGAGCCGATGGGGTACACCGGCGGCGCGGGGCGCCCTGCCACGGCGCGGCCGTCGGCGACGGCCGCGAGGGCCCCCGGCTCTAGCCCGTCCGCTGTGTTGGCGATGATCCCCGTGGCGTCCATGAAGCTGTCGCCGAGGCGCACGAACCACGTGTAGTTGGGGCTCTTCTTGTCCACCACCGGGCACGGCAAGCACTCCGGCGGTACCGGCGGCAGCCCGGGCACGTGCACCTCCCCGTCCAGCTCGTCGAACCCCACGGTGACAACGCGGTGGAGCACGGGCAGGTGCAGCATGAGCGCGAGCATGGCGCCGGTGGAGGACATGAAGACCTAGGACGGCACGCCCAGCCCGCGGGCCACGTCGACCATGGGCGCCGCGAAGAGGTCGAGCACGAGCGCGGCGACGGGGCAGGACATCCCCGCGACGGCGTCCCGGACGTGGGGCGCGTGGAGCTGGATGTAGCGCGCGATGAAGTCCTCGACCACGGCCGCGTCCGCCGGGGGGTCGACGGCGGGGAGGCGGTGGAAGCGGATGTCGAGGCCGGAGGCGGCCTCGCGGCGGACGTGCTCCTCGACCTGGGAGGTGGCCTGCGCGGTGGGCGGGCGCATGACGAGCAGCGTGATGGAGAAGGCGCGGCGGCCGCAGAGGAGGAGGCGCTTGCAGGACTCGAGCATGGACATGAGGTGCCCGACGCCCCACTCCTGCAGCAGCACCAGCGTGGGCGTCGGAGCAGCTGCCATTGTTACTGAACGAACAGAAAAAATCTGATATCTCCCCTCCCTCTTGGTGTCACTAGGAATGTGGTTCCCTCCAACTTCTCTCTTTCAAAAAAAATGGTGGGAAATGTGATTCTTGGTTATTATAGATAAGATTGTTGTGAAGGATGAAAAACTTTGGAAAAGTAGTCGCGCGTGCGCGCTGGCCTGTCGCATCGTGGAGACGCCGGGGAAGATCATGCGAAAACGACTGATAAAGCTGCTTTTCATTTTCATTCATCAGAATTTCAATCAAAAAACAAAACAAAAATATGCCGTTGTTCTCACTCTCTCTTGTTGATATGAGAGCTTGTTTCTCGCTAGCACTAGATTTACTATTGATTTTCAATCAAAAAAAAATCACGGAGAACCGGTCAGGAACCAGGACTTTTTTTTTTTTTGCGGGATAACCAGGACTTGTCGTTGTCACTCTCTCTTGTTGTCTTGTTGATACGCATGTTTCTTCTTTCTTTCTTTTATTTGATGAGATGATATGCCTGCTTTGTTAAAGCAAACGGGTGGTAGGTCGGCTGTCAAGACCTGAGAGAGTTTCATTTCTTTATGGAACCTCGTCCGTCATTCGTCAAGCAGGCCGGATGCTCACTGGCCGTTGCTTCGTTAACTTCTGGCTTTTGTCCGAGGTAATAGCACCCCAGGTACCCTAACTTGCACAGAATGTGATGATTTAGTCCCAAACTTGCAAAACTTCACTCCACCATACCCCAACTTGCACCTCATGTGATGATTTAGTCCCAGGCCAATCACAGCTCGACAGTTGGCGGCCAGGTGGCTGGACCGGTCAGCGCGCGCACTTTTGCAGAAAACCCCCTATAGTTTTCTGTAATCAACCCGCACTCACCTCCCATTGACTGCAAAAGCATAAATAACCTAGTGTAAAGTGGAGTACATCCAAGATTCCAAGTTTGCTTGGAACTACGAATGTTCATGTATTTCAATTCAGAACGACATGTAGTTGCTACTGTTACAAAATAAAATGTGTAGTTTCTACTGAAAACCACATGATAAAACTGTTCAGACTGTAACAGAACAGGTATCAGTGCACAACACCATTTTCTTTCAGTCTTTCAGGAGAAGAGAGGTTGCACCTCGTGAACATCTTTACTGCAGCACAATTTCGCGGCAGAACATGATTTCAAGTTCTCAACGGAGAAAAGAATTAACATTGCTCGATCAAACCAACATACAAATTAATGGTGAGAAAAAAGAATCACGGAAGCAGCATGAATCCTTGGCCGCTACCTGCAAGAACTGCTCTCCTAATCAGCCAGTAGCCATTTTTTCTTGCATCGGCGGCGTCAGTTCCTCCAGAACGGAACAAGAACGGCACATTGACGTCGCACGGCCTGGACACCACCTTGGCGCTGGCGGCGAGCCTGTCCACCGTCATGGCGCACCGAACCGTCACCGGCACGGCCCACGTCCTCACGCCGCCGAGCTGCAGCCGCACGGGCACCGTGATGTCCACGTCGAACGGCACCGATCGGAGCCGCTCCGCCGCGGCCATCTGCCCGCGCTCGCGCTCCGAGAACCGTATCCCGGTGCCCTTGGCCTTCGCCATGAACACCGTGATGTTGCATGGCGCCTGGTAGAAGGCCGGCCACGCGCCGTCCGCCAGGCTCACGCCCTCGTACGACACGGCGATGCGGCTCCCGGCGCCGTCGTAGTGCACGCCGACCTTGCCTTTGGCGCTGTTGTCGGCGTGGACGGTCACGGCGAACCCCGGCGAGAGCGGGCCGGGGGCCGAGGCGTTGCTGACGCCGGCGAGGCCCGACACTGCGAGGGACACGACCGAGTACGCCGGCTGCCTGGGCTTGAAGGCGAGGTAGACGCCCCCGACGGCGGCGGCGAGTAGGATGGCGAGGGAGAGGACCTCGACGGCGAGGTAGAGGCAGGCGCAGAGGCAGGAGCAGCCGGCGTGGCGGGTGTAGTGCTGGAAGAGGCGCGCGTTCTCTGGCGGCGGCACGCGGAAAACCTTGTCTTTGGGCACCTGCACCACGTACGTGCCGGGCTGCGGCGCCGGCGGCTTCTGCTGGTGTTGGGGCGGTGGCGGGACGGGCTTCTCAAAGTGGACTGCAGAGCGGGCTGGGGGAGGGGTCGGAGGAGGAGTAAGCGTAAGCGTACTCGCCGGAGAAGTCGGAGCTGGTGGACGCGGCCGTCGTTCATCATAGGCCGCTCCTGCTCCTCACGTCGCGCGTGCGTATCAATCTGCGATATCAAAACCGTCCGTGCCAGAATGTTTTGTGCGCATTGGTACTTCCCAACCGAATAGTACTTCTTTAGCACGGCGTTGATTGCTGATTTGCTTGCTTGCAGTGCTAGTATGCTTATCGTGGACGTCCTATAGCTTTGCAGTCAATAGATGATCTCTTGTTTTTGTACCATGGGACAGCACGCACTAGGGGTCCTGTTCACCAGTGCACGTACCCAAACTTGAAGAGAGACCAGCAGCCTCCACACTGGCTGGTTCCAACTCATGACATGGTCCTTCTCGTTGAAGCATCGAACGGCGCCTTCCATGCACATGAAGCTGAAGTCAACCGTGCACTCGAACCAAACTCTAAACCGGTGCCCTGTCACCTCCACGAGGAAAGGAATGGTGTGGCGGAACCATTGTCTGAAACAGTCAACAGCAAAGCAAGCAAATCAGCAATCATTAAGCAAAGTAAACGAATGTACAAATGTACTAAAACGGAGCACGTCACTCAGCACGTACCCGCCGAGTTCCTTCTTGTCTCCGCACTGCTGCACAGCTTCATAGAAGACTAATGACAACTCGTCGTCGCTCTCCTCATGTCCCATGCCAACATCGAACGGTGAAGATCCAAACTCAACGACCATCAGCATCTGGTGCAGTTGGTTGGCCGAAATTTTGTTCATTTAAATTGTCGTTAGTTTCCGAACCAAATTACTATTCAAGGATCTGCACATCCCAGTTACAATTTTTTTTCTCATAGCCTGATAGGCACGCACCTGTGGAGCGCAGGCATTCAGACAAACATTCTAGACCTTGACAGCCGGTGTCATGCCGAAAGCCACAGGGTTACACCTCCTCATCTTGTTCTGTGTGAACAAACCACCCGGGCCGCTACTATAACGGTCGAACATGGGACCGGTTGAGTTGTTTGCTGAGCTCAGATCATGATAGGGAACACCTGGGAACAAAATCATGGGAGGTGAGTGCGGGTTGATTACAGAAAACGGTAGGGGGTTTTCTGCAAAAGTGTGTGCGCTGACCGGTCCAGCCACCTGGCCGCCAATTGTCGAGCTGTGATCGGCCTGGGACTAAATCATCACATGAGGTGCAAGTTGAGGTATGGTGGAGTGAAGTTTTGCAAGTTTGGGACTAAATCATCACATTCTGTGCAAGTTAGGGTACCTGGGGTGCTATTACCTCCTTTTGTCCACCTGTCGATGGCTACTAGTACGTGTTCATTGGCAGGAAAAGTCGGGCGAAGCAACCTATTGTTTTCCAGCATGCGTGGAGAAAAAACAGTTCGCTTTTGGAGATTGGAAGATTGTACGTATGTGGTCACTCTAAGACATGGTCATATGCTGGATTGTTCTCACTCCACCTGTCGGATGACAAGAGCGTCAGGGAAGTGGTTTCAGATATCCCAGAAATAATGCAAGCTTTTTGCTATGACGTGGCTTCATATATCTAGTAAATTCAAAAAATACTACTAGTGAAAGCATTATAAAAATCTGAAAGAACATTGGCATAAAAAATGTGCTCCAGCACGCTAGGAGCCTGCAATTTTTTGTGGTGAAATGACCTTCATGTATTATTAGGAAGAAATATGTATAAGGTCACCAGAAGGTTAAATTCTAACAAAAGAATAAACTAGAGATTTGGAATAAGGGAACAACTAAAAATGAGCTTGAAGGAGATTAATAAAAGCACTATTTTAAGAAAAAATTCGTCACCGACGCAAGTCCATTCGCTAGTTGTCCTTCATCAACTACCGTAGGCGACACACGCTGGTAATGAAAAACAGGGCGGTGACACCCTACCAAACTCAACCAACATATATACAAGAATGATTAAGAAACACATTTCACTGCAGTGGTTGACGCCTAAGGAATTGTTGATTGCGCTCCCACCTCGCAAACGCTCCCACATCGTCAATCATTTGTGACTACTTCCATTTGATTTGAGCCAATGCACCATAGTGCATCCATCATGTGATTTATGTCCAAAATTGCTTCTTGACTACACACAGTTTCAGAGTTGTTCAAATTTTGAATTTCAAATGTATCAGCTCACTTATGTTTTGCACATGTTTTAAATGTATGTCGATTTGTAGTAGATTTCTATGTAGGCATGCTTTTCTATGTGTTACAGAACATATATGCCTTGGATGGGTCTGAGGTTCGATTGGGGTTCAATGGGGTGGGGAGTACATATGGACATGTGAAATTTTTAACAATGACATTTTACCAATAGCACCAATTTTGCAGGTTAACTAATGTGTATCAAGGTTTTTTTTTCAAATTGCCTAGCTTTTAAATTTGTTAAAACATATTTTTTTTGTAAGAATAACATACGAAATTGACCATGGTCAAACAATTTACCTTCATTCAGAGTGGCACAACAACCTTACTTGACTGCAGTGGTGCAAGAATAATTAAAAAGCAATTTAAGTGGGATATTCCCTCCATTAACTTTGTGTTGCTAGGTAGGTGGGGAGCTTCAATCCCACTGGCTTAAGTGAAAACATGATGCACTTGCCATTGAGCTAGGGTGCAACAATAATTACCATGTGGATATATTTACAACTTCACATTTTTACCATGTTAAATTGCAGTTGTTGCAGTTTTGCAACCATGGTTGGTGTCAACTATTACTGCCCTGGTTTAAAGATTGTACGACTGAACCACTGAAACAAACCATTGCAAATATAACGGAGACACCTATTTAAATTGAGCAGACATGTTGACACTTCCAAACTACATTCGCTCGACCG